TTTGAACTGTTGAAAGAAATTAACTTATTGTCATCTAAGAGGAAAATGCTTCAGTTTGCCCACTAAGATGACATTACAACCCATCTAAATTCATCTATTTCTTATTTTTCTACAAGAATATTATCCAAAGGGTTATCCAAATGTGTGAATTCAAATTCTTCAAACCTAGCAAAATTGTGTTTGGGAAACTCATTTGACAAGGAATAATATGGCCTACTTTCTAAACTGAATTGAGTGGCCAGAAATGAAAACGATGGCCTAAATTACATTTTTTTTTTCAAACTGTAGCATTTAAGACTAATTCCAAAAAAGATTCTCTATTTTTAAACTTTATTAAAATGAACTAACATTATTCAGTTTGCCTTTCTCAATACAGGTAACCCAATAAAGAGCTACAAAGGAAGTTTGTGGATTATAATACAATTCTGAAAACTAAATATGAGATGACATTAGGATGTCAGAATTTTCTATAATCTCATTGGTAAACAGGTTTATTAAGAAACAAAATGAAAAACTATTGCCAAAAGATAAGAAGTCAAGGCTGAATTCTGAACTAACTTGAAATACCAGAGCTGACAGTGATAACTAAGGGTGGAAGAAAAGGTAACAGTTTCCAATTTAAAAGTAAAAAATTACTTTTAAATGCATTAATTGTATCTTTTATTAAATGTCTACTTTGAATTTAAAATGAAGTTACTGTTATGGTCTTTGCATGTTAGATGCTTACACCCACAGTTCAACAAAAATTAGAAACATTGATTCTATTTCTGGCATTTAAGTCTATTTCTGTCTACATTCTTTTGTGCCTGGCATCTACAAGTATTCGAGATGGCAATCCTGAGTCTGCAGTTTAAAGACTTAAACTGAGGAAGACTTACACGATCTTTCATTAGTGGCCTTAACTTTTCCCAGTCTTATCTCCTGCCACTCTTTCCTTCCCGTTTCCACTTCCCCCTTCCCTTTCCTAATTATGCTGCCATCATCCATGCTCTAGGACCAAACTGAATTGAAGGTTCTCTGAATATGTTATGCCCTTTCACAATTTGATCTTTGTATAATCTTTTTCTTTCCGCCTCAAAATCCTTCCTTCCTTTTCACTGCCTGACAAACTCCTACTCATCCTTCAAAAATACTCATGATTGCAACACTTGCCTTCCTTGGGTCAATCGCCATTCTTTTCTGTTCTCCCACCATCTTTCTGCTCACACCTGCATCATAATTCTTTAATATATCATAATATTTGCTTACTTATCTGTCTCCATCATCAAACTAATAGTTGAGGAACAGCAGACATTTGTCTATCATCTTTGAACATGTGGCATCCAGTATCAAAGTCTTCTGTAATGAATGAATGACTGCCACTGTGAAGTTCGAATCCTAATTCTACAACTTCCTGGCTATATGAGCTTAGGAAAGTTCATTTCTCTAAATCTCAGCTCCATCATCTTTAAAATGAGATAAGAATAACTAATTCATTATTTGAGTTGTCAGGATTGAACACAAGTTTTTTGTTTCGTTTTTTTGTTTTGAGATAGAGTCACACTTTGTTGCCTGGGCTAGAGTGCCCTGGTGTCAGCCTAGCTCACAGCAATCTCAAACTCTTGGGCTCCAGTGATCCTCCTGCCTCAGCCTCCCAAGTAGCTGGGACTACAGGAATGTGCCACAGTGCCCGGCTAATATTTTCTATTTTTAGTAGAGACGGGGTCTCACTCTTGCTCAGGTTGGCCTCGAACTCCTGACCTCAAGTGATCCTCCCGCCTCGGCCTCCCTCGGCTAGGATTACAGGCATGAGCAAGCACGTCCAGCTAGGATTAAACATAAGTTTTTAAACCACCATAGTAATAACTGATTCCAGTAAGATCATCAAAGGGTACTCAAACCATTAAGTGAAAGTTTGTGGGAGAACAGGACATTCACAGTCTCAAACTAGCATGTTATTTGTTATTAGCCAATGGAAAAATGTAACTTTACAATGGACACCACCTTAATCAAGTGCTTAAACTAATACCACCAATAAGGGGACAAACACAGGTATCATGTGCCCTAGTGTGATGCACTAAGATCCATCATCTATGAAGCATTACTTCTAAAAATTGTTTAACTTGAATCTAATCATGAGAAAACAATAGACAAATCTAAATTAAGCAAAATAATTAGCCCAGACTCTTCCAAATTGTCTATGTCATAAAAGACACTCCTCTCTCAACCCGCCCTCTCCCCACAAAAGGCACTGAGAAACTGTCTAGATGAAAGGAGCCTAGATGATAACTAAATAGAATACGTGATCCTTGACTGGACCGCAAATGTTTTTAAAACGGTATATCTAAAAAAAACAAAAAAATCATAGAGAACATTATTGAGATGACTACAAAATCTAAATACAAAGCCGTATACTAGATTGTAGTATTATACCAAAGTTAAAGTTTCTGCATGCTATAATTGCTCATGAGTATGTAGAAGAATGGCATTGTTTTTAGAAGATACAAGCTGAAGTATTTAGAGGTTAAGAGTCCCCATTTCTGCAACTCTCATACAGTTCAGCAAAATACATAAATTATGAGAGAGACAAAGACGTGACCAAATATTAATAATAGGTAAGTCTAGGTAAAGAATTTATGAGTTGTCACTCTAAAATTCTTGCAACTTTTCCTCATGTTAAGAAGTTTTCCACCAGGCACAGTGACTGGCGCCTGTAATCCTAGCGCTCTGAGAGGCCAAGGCAGGAAGATCACTTGAGGTCAGGAGTTTGAGACCAGCCTGAACAAGAGCAAGACCCCATCTCTACCAAAAATAGAAAAAATTAGCCAGGTGTGGTGAAGTGCACCTGTAGTCCCAGCTACTTGGGAGGCTGAGGCAGAAGGATCGCTTGAGCCCAGGAGTTTGAGGTTGCAGTGAGCTATGATAATGCCACTGCACTCTACCCTGGGCAACAGAGTGACTTTGTCTAACAAAAAGAAATTTAGTCAGGTGCAGTGGTTCATGCCTATGATCCCAGCACTTTGGGAGGCTGAGGCAGGAGGATCACTTGAAACCAGGAGTTCAAGACCAGCCTGGGCAATATAGGGAGACCCCCCCCACACACACCTCTACAAAAAGCAAACAACAAAAAAATTTAAAAAACCATTAAATGAGAATTCAAGTAATGTGCTTAGCACAAAACTTAACCCAATAAATTACTATAATTGTTGGTATTGTTATTATCTTCCAAAACAGATTAAGTGATAGATCTAAGAAAATGTGATACTGAGATCACTATAAGTAACTAGATCTGAAACAGGAAAAAAGTATTCTCATAAAATTGGACTGTGCTATAACAAATCTAGTACCACAAAAAATGCCACGATAACATTCTTAATCCTGTAGGTTTAGACAAATCCACTTCAAGGTCTTCTCGAAACAAGTACTTAGTGACCTACTTCTATATGCCAGTTCCTGTACTAGGCTTCAACGATGACAGCAGCATGTAAAAACACCTACCTTCAAAATACTTACATCCTAGTGAAGCAAGACAGTAAACTACATAGTATGTTAGAAGTCATAAATGCAATGGAGTGAAATAAGGCAGGAAAGGAGAACACAGAGTAGGAGGGGGCTACAATTTAAAACAGGCGAGCGTGGGAAACCTCACTGGGGTGTCTACAGCAAAATTTCGAACCACCTAAATGAAAAGCGTTGGGAATCTGCCAGGAAGGGCAAAGCACGGTGAAGAGGTGAGTGTGGCTGGATGGAGTGAACCAAAAGGGAGTTGAAGATGGAGCCGGATATGCAAACGAGCGCCAGGCAGACCATAAACCAAGTACACCATCCTAAGGGCTTTGGCCTTTATCCGGAGGGATGTGAGTAGCCACTGTAGCTTTTTGAGCAAAGGACGGACATGATCCAAAGTAACCTGCACACTGGGCTCACTTTAACTTCCTCCCACTCAACTCCCCTTGTTCCTAGCGCCACCCTCCCCCCACCAACCCCGCTACCATGGCCAGGTAACCTTCCCGTTTAAGCTGTCACTGAATCATTTCTCAATGAATTTCACGGGTGTGTGCTCTGCTGGGGAGGGCTCTGGCATGGCGAATCTTTTCCCTCACAATTCCCCAACCTGCTCAGAAGTCACCCAACCCGCCCTCAGGGACGCACACACAACAGAGAGGTCACATTTGACACTCAAACACACGCCTCCCCACAGCCGCGCTCCACACACCCTCCAGCCACGCGCAACGCGGAGGCAGCTGCTGCCAGGCGAGGCTTCCTGGTCGGCCGAGCCACCCCGCTACGCACCCTGAGGTTCCCCTTGGTCCGCTGCTTGTTCTTCCCGCCCATGGTCGCGGTCGCGGCCGCACTCTCTTGCAGACCCCCGGTTGACACAGCCGGGCCACAACTTCCGACCCCTCGCGCCGGAAGAGGGCTCCCTGTAATTATTTCCCCCGGCCCTCCTTTTCCGCCACCCACCCCACCCTCCTGTTGCCCCACTTCCGCTCCCGCCTCCCTCTGTGCTCCGGACCATTCGCCGCCGGAGACGTCACAATTAAAGCCGCGCCTGTCTGAGTGACGTCATTGCTGGCCAATAGGAAGCCAAGCATTGGACCCGGGGCGCCAAATCCTGTCTTTAGCGCTTTCAGAAGCTAGATTTGTTCCTTGCTTAGCGGGTAGCAAATTGGCATGAGCCATAAGAGAGGCAGTTTCACAAAGAATAGCAATAGAATGTTATGGTAGTGGGTGTGGGAAGGTAGGAAAATGTTAGACTTTTAACTGGATGCAATCATCATCATCACCTGGGCATTTGTTAGGGGAGACTCTCAGGCTCACTTTGGAACTAGTGAATCAGATTCTGCATTTTGTCAGTATTCCCAGATCTTGTTAAAATTGTGTACTGCACTAGGCAGTATTCTCTCTAAATCCCCCATTTTTCCATGTCAAAAGTGTTATGTGCAGTTTTGTAATGTAGCAGTCTCCATTAAAATTTGAGATGTGCAGATCTTAGTGGTTTTGCTTCTAAGAATCACACTACAGAAACATAAACACGTGTGCTGGTTACTGTCTCTATTGTTCACACGGTCACTCTTTTATACTCAACTCCGTGATACTGGGGCTCAGCAAACTGTCTCTTTCATTCAGCTAGCTTCCTGTTAGGTTCCATCAACAGAGAGAACTAGACGGAAATGAAGGCAGGAGGAAGAAGGGACTTGCTCCATTTTGTTAGCATCATCTCAGCAGTAGCCCTTTACCCTGCAAGGAGCAGTTCCTTTAGCTAGAAGTTGGTTTTAGTCTCCATCTTTTTTCCACAAATCACAAAATCACCTTTTTGCACTCCTCAGAGGTATCAGCAGCAGCCAGGCAGTGCTCTCCTCAGATGTCTGAGTCTTAGCTCCCTGGCCCACTCCCTGAGCTCTTAAAATAGCCAGTGGTGCTTCCCCTCATAAGTTTGAGCTCCAACACCATGGGTTCCCTTCTTTGAGTTCCAGAGGACCAGCAACAGCCAGGCGTCACCCTCTCTCATAGGCCTGAAGTGAGCTTTTCAGGGCCGTCCTCCAAGCTTCTAGGTTCTGATTACTCCAACCTCTTCTTTCCTTCCTTCCTTTCCTAGCTCTGGTAGCTGCTACCTGCAGTTATTACCTCTGTGTTACTTTTTATAATTACTTTTGACCAATTTCCCATAATAAACTCTCTCTCTCTCTCTCTCTCT